GATCATTTTTCGGATCAGCAAGAAAAGAAAAATATTTCAATTTAACTTGCTTTCCATTTATTACTTAAAGCGAAGTACTTCTTTGATACCACTGCAAATACTACTAGATTAACTAAGAAAGTTTAAACATGATTAAAGAGACGAGAACAACCAGTAAAAATAAGAACATATACACAAATTACAAGCATAGGTAAATACAACAGAATGTGTTACAAATAAATTTTATCATACTAGATACATTTAGTTCTGTTATAATGCTACTCTGTGCGGTCGTCACCGGTCTATTAAAACACAACATATTAAAGCGTCTTTGCTGTTTCCATGTTTTCTACAAAAAAAAAATCGAGGGGTTATGACATCATTAGCAGGCGACACAATGACACTATAGACACGCTCCGTGTCACGAGTTAAAATTGCTTATTTCTCTTGTTTTAAACATTCTTCGAAACATTTGGGATAACGTAAAGTACACAAGTCAGCAAAATATATAACACTGTTCTAGTGGTTTTTGGATATATTTATTTAAAAAATCTTACATATTGTAAGATTTCTTTGACCCTGGCAACACGATTGCTGAAATATGATTGGATAAAAGCTCTAATATAAACACACACTACTGGAAGCAGCACAACCAAGAGAAAAGCTGTGAAATTAAGAGAACAGACTTTTGGAAATAATTGAATACACTAGGGCTGCAACAACTAATTGATAAAATCGATTATGAAAATCATCTATCATCATGTAATGACCACCCTTTGAAGTGCAAGTGTTTTCTTACTAAAACTAATGATCATCTCTTTCGTTTTTGACACATTCAAATCTAATTTCATCCTATTACACCATAAAATCATCCAAAACCGGATCATATTCCTCATCTGGATATGACGGCATAGACAGAAGCACAGTATCGTCTGCATATTTTACCAAATAGCTATTATTGTACAAACTCTGACAATCATTTGTATATAAAATGAAAAGAACAGGAGAAAGTACACATCCTTGTGGTGAACCTATAGAAGTATTTAAAGTGTCCGATAAGACTCCAGTAACTCTAACCTTTTGTTTCCTATCTGTTAAAAAATTCACAATCCATAAAACTAAACCATGCTTAAAATTAAACTGACTAATACATTTTTGTCCTAAAATAATAGGTTGCAAAAAATTAAACGCAGACGAAAAGTCCACAAACAAAAGCCCCATCTTTATTTTTTTAATGCAGAGATTTAAACTATATTCACTATCATGGGCGACATTTGATTCTTGAGTCAGGGGTGGGCAAGAAATATATATATATATATATATGAAATAAATAAAAGCTAAATATTTTTTTTGCTGATATAAGCATCAAAACAATGTCCTACCATATTGCAACGCATCAAAGCAGTCAATACAAGTCAAGAATAACTTAGAGGTTGCCACCGTTTAGTAAACTGTGAACTAGAGGTCTGCCGCGGGAACCGCGAGACCCAACCAGATTTTTTGCGCCGTGGGATTAAATTCCCGAATAAATGCAATAGCGGTCGGTAACTCTGGTGTAATTTGAGCGGGCGGTCTAACAATATCCTGTAACGAATTTAGTATTTTGACAAGACGAATAAAATAACATAGCCTACAATTTTGTGCAGACTACACTTTTATGTATTAGCCTATCTTGCTTTCTTTCAGTAGCGGAAATTTAAATGTGAGATTCTGGAAACGAGATCTAAATTTAGCGGGAACGGTCGGGTCGGGAAGAAAATTATTCTAAGCGGACACTGGGTGAACAATGAGTGAATATATAGCGGGAGCGGGTGGGTGCGGAATATAACCTTGCGGGACCTCTACTGTGAACTAGCTTTGGCTCTTCCTGCTGACTTGAATGGTGATGCTTCCCGTTTGTCAATTGATGGCCTTTAATTTTTAACCAGAAATGTGCACGCTGCTTTTCTGATGTTCACTGAAGTTTTCCGTGTCTTTTTCCCGTGTCACTTGAAATGTTTCCGTTTTGAATCGTTGTTACCAAAGGTGAGACACGTGAGGAAAAAATAAACGATCAGTTGTGGGACTATATTCTGTCGTAAATCACACACCATTCATTGCTGAACTTTCTAACGACCGTTACTGGAAATGAAATTGATTTGTCCCGATCTCAATAAAGTTTACACACGCTTTTGGTCCGTGAATTAAATCCGTCCGTTGCCAATCACTGCAATTTCAAGAGTGAATCCCGCATAATATGCGGATGTCATTCCCGAAACTTTGCAGGATGTAGCTTATGTGTCCGAAAAACGAAAGTTTCATATTCTGAATAGATTATACCCTAGAAAGTGCGCAGTGCGTGCTCCCTTTATCACTAAAAAGCGTCACTCGTCTTCGTTTATTGCGATCTTACAAAGTTCCGTTATAATCAATGAAGCTCTCTAAACTGCACAATGAATCTCTTATTTACATCGCATCTGCACTTAGTCATGAGATGATTCACGAGCGTGCAAAACTGCGCGCTTTCAGCGGTGAGTGAATTCTGACAAAATGTTTCTGATTGGCCATTGCGTTCAAGAAATCAACAGATATGTCTGTGATTGGTTCAATTGCTCGGCGCTGCAAAAACATGGTGAGGGTATTTAGTGCTTGGCTAAGCGCTCCAATTGCAGCGGGGCCGACATCAGGGATTCCATGACAATTTGGAGGGGGGGCAATTGCCCCTAATGTCGCCCATGTTCACTATATACAATGCTTAACAAATGTATGTAAGGGTTTTAACAAATTATGGTTTGTGCCACTGCTGCTCTAAACTAACAGTACTGGTGATTACCAGAAGCATTTTTTAGCTTTCTGTATGGGTTAGTCCTCCAGTATGTGTAAGCTCTTTAGTAACAGTAGTAGGCTGTTTCTAATGCTATAATATAATAATTGCTGTTATCTATGAAAGAAAGGCAGAGAGCTTTATAGTGTTTTTATTTTCACCCCAATACCCAATTACAGTAAAAAAAAAAGTACATGAACAATGCCAGCAAGGATGCAAGCTGTTATGAAGGGCATAGGAGGCCTTTTTTATGTGAATAAATACTACTTAGTTGTTTAAGTTTATTTGCCCAATAAATGACAAAAAATGTTTTTTTGATTTAAACAAATTTTTGACAGATTCCTAAAATGTGTTTTCTCTTTATTATGGCAGGTGGTCTAATACATTAAGCACTGTATGTTTTCATAGCATTCAGTTGGCATGTTTTTTTGAAGGACATTGGGCAGAATGTGGAATAATCTTCCAACTAATCGATTATCAAAATAATCGTTAGTTGCAGCCCTAGAATACACATTCATTGAAATATATATATATATATATATATATATATATATATATATTAAAACTAAGTCGGTAATTCTGATCGGCCCACCACTGCTTTATTTCACTTAAAAACATGAGATACAGTAGGATGGAAAAACCGCCATAAAGTCTCGAGACGTGTTTTTTAAAAGTTAAACTTGCATTAATTTTACATGGCTTTCTAAACATGCGTCTCTCTTGTGCGAGACACGAGTGCAACGCTGATAGATGTCCTTCTAGAAAAATGTGATAAATATGTGTTCTGTGTGAACGGCTTGGTTTCAGTTTTGATGCAAACTACATCATCTCCGCATTGAAGTTCTCTTTTTCCGCAAATATTTTGAAAGAACAATGTAGCCGCGCCGCATCTAGTGGCTTCAACTGGACAGGCTAAAAAAAGCATTCAAATGCAACGACACCTACATCGTCATCACATCTCATGTGTCGCTGATAATGCTGCCTGACGCACACCCAAAATTTGAATACAAAAACGTTGTAGATTTTATATTCGATGAATATTCGAAATTCACAGTTTTTTTTTGACAGCCCTAATAGTTATCGTCGTTGGTGTGAACGGGCCTTAACTGATAGGGTGGAGGTAGCCTACGTTATCTGGTTATTTACGGCTCAGTGGTTTGACACTGAAATGTTTCAGATGTGAGAGTCAGATCTAGAAGTGGCAGGTCAAGTGCTTTCAGAGAGAAAGCGGCGCCGAGTCGAACGCATCCAGATCCCCAGGTATTACCGACGTCTGAGTGGAGCGGGCGGAGGTTTCCACAGTAGATGGAGAGCGAACAAATCAATCCTCGACGGTGAACTTGTGCTTGTTTCTGCTGTGATTATACCGAGAGCCGCATGATGAATCTGTGGGACTGAAGAGACAGCGATGCAGAGATGGAGGCTGCGTGTGTGTATTTATAGCAGCAGGAATGTAAGTTCTGTAAAGGTTTGCTGTCCTGAGGGATGAATCACCACAAAGCACTGACAGCAGCCCAGTGTGTGTGTGTTTCTGTGGACTCTAAGCGAATAATCATCTCTCTGTGTGTGTTGTGTGTTTCAGAGCACGCTCGTGCTCGCAGGAAGAGCTTTGCCACGTCGCGGCAGAGAAGCATGGAAGCTCCGCCCACTGCCCCTACACAGCCATTCCGACAACCTGTGAGTACTAGCTAGTGCACTGCATACTGCACCCTTCATAAAGCTAGCACGCAGCCATACAGCAGCAGTAAGCCACACGACTTCATTGCACTGCATCCATTTATCATCTCTGACACTTCATTTGCATGTTTAATCCAGGTTAGGTTAAAAACTTTGCAAGTTTTGTTATTGCCGCTTCGTTCGTCGCTCATGTGGAACGTAGTGCATTGTGGGATACAGTGTAACTGTGTCCCAAATGACGCACTATCCACTAACGCACTATGTACTCAACCATGTAGTGAAGTGAGAATTTATAAAGAATTTTATAAGGTTATTTTGTCATTAATAATCGTAGTCTGATAGCCCCTCCCCCTTCGTGACCGTTGAGTGCATGAAGTGTCCAACATTCCACACTTAGTTTTTTCGGTTATTTAAGTGCATCATCCGGGTATTTAAAGTGCACTTTTTATTTTTGGAATTTTCAGTGTGAACGTACTACTCGTGCTATTTAGACTACAAAACGCATAAGTATGCGATTTGGGACGCACCATGTGTCTGCTGAGAATATATCCAGTCATGTCGATTGAGCTAGCTTACTCAATATTTCAAGTTCAGATGCAGTTAACATGCATTTATAGTTATTTTGAATTATTTCAGTTTTTATTAATAGGTTATTTTTCAGTAACTTTATGTGCTTTTGTCATTTTTATGTATTTTTTTTGCAATATTACTTAGGTTTGATTTCTTTTAGTTTAGTTTCAGTTTTTACTTTTTTCTAATTAGTCATTTTAGTGCTTCTACTTTCTAATGTTCTAATGTTGTTTATTTTAAGTTTTTTATCTAATATTTATGTTTATTTTATTTAAGCTTAATTTAAACAAAAGTGTTTTTAATAGGTTTAGTTTAAGTTGACGATAATAACCCTATTGTATAAGGTCGGAAGAAATTGGTGGAAAACATTTTAATTTTCAAACATTTTTCACTCAGAAATTGTGAGTAAATTTCACAAATAATTAAACATGAGGTTTCGAAGTAGACAGACTGAAATGGTGTTTTCTTGTAAAACATTCTCCAATCATTTTTGTGTGTGTGTGCTCTTGTGTGCGTGCGCTCTTGTGTGCGTGCATGTGTGTGTGTGCGTGCATGTGTGTGCGTGTGTGTGCTCTTGTGTGCGTGCGTGTGTGTGTGTGTGTGTGCTCTTGTGTGCGTGCGCTCTTGTGTGCGTGTGTGCGTGCATGTGTGTGCTCTTGTGTGCGTGCGCTCTTGTGTGCGTGCATGTGTGTGTGTGCGTGCATGTGTGTGCGTGTGTGTGCTCTTGTGTGCGTGCATGTGTGTGTGTGTGTGCTCTTGTGCGTGCATGTGTGTGTGCTCTTGTGCGTGTGTGTGCTCTTGTGTGCGTGCATGTGTGTGTGTGTGTGCTCTTGTGCGTGCATGTGTGTGTGCTCTTGTGCGTGTGTGTGCTCTTGTGTGCGTGCATGTGTGCTCTTGTGTGCGTGCATGTGTGTGTGTGTGTGTGTGTGCTCTTGTGTGCGTGCTCTTGTGTGCGTGCATGTGTGTGTGTGCTCTTGTGACGTGTGACGTGTCGTGTGGCCAAGTATGGTGACCCATACTCGGAATTAGTGCTCTGCATTTACCCATCCAAAGTGCACACACACAGCAGTGAACACACACAAACCGTGAACACACACCCGGAGCAGTGGGCAGCCATTTATGCTGCGGCGCCCGGGGAGCAGTTGGGGTTCGGTGCCTTGCTCAAGGGCACCTCAGTCGTGGTATTGAAGGTGGGAGAGAGTGCTGTACATTCCCCCCCCCCACCTACAATCCCTGCCGGTACGAGACTCGAACCCACAACCTTTGGGTTATGAGTTCAACTCTCTAACCATTAGGCCACGACTTCCTGTGTGTGTGCATGTGTGTGTGTGTGTGCTCTTGTGTGCGTGTGCGTGTGTGTGCTCTTGTGTGCGTGCATGTGTGTGTGTGCTCTTGTGTGCGTGCGTGCGTGTGTGTGTGTGCTCTTGTGTGCGTGTGTGCGTGCATGTTTGTGTGCGCGTGTGTGCTCTTGTGTGCGTGCATGTGTGTGTGCTCTTGTGTACGTGTGTGTGCGTGCATGTTTGTGTGCGCGTGTGTGCTCTTGTGTGCGTGCATGTGTGTGTGTGCTCTTGTGTGTGTGTGCGTGCATGTGCGTGTGTGTGCTCTTGTGTGCGTGTGTGCGTGCATGTTTGTGTGCGCGTGTGTGCTCTTGTGTGCGTGCATGTGTGTGTGTGTTAGGGCTGCACGATATTGGAAAAAACTCACATTGCGATATTTTATTTTTCTGCAATACATATTGCGAAAAAATCACCACATGACTTGAATAGTTTATTTGGGGGGGGAAATAATCAATGATTGGTGTGATTTTGTAGGCGAGTAAATCAGCATAGGAAATAAACATATTACAAGCATAGATAGTGTTGTCAAAACACCAGGTACTTCAGTACCAAGTCGGTACAAAAAAAATTAAAACGTTACGGTACCAGGTTTTTTTAAAGGGGTCATATGATGCGATTTCAATTTTTCCTTTCTCTTTGGAGTGTTACAAGCTCTTGGTGCATAAAGAAGATCTGTAAAGTTGCAAAGACTAAAGTCTCAAATCCAAAGAGATATTCTTTATAAAAGTTAAGAGTCAGCCACGCCTACCTAAAACGGCTCGTTCTAACACGCCCCCACATGTCTACATCACTATGTGAGAAGATTTGCATAACGCCGCCCAAATGTTCACGCAAAGAAAGAAGGCATAACTTTTATTCTCGCTGTAGTATTGTTGCTGCCGCCGCCATGTCGTGAAGACGCTGTGCTTCGTTGTGAAAGCGAAACTACTTTGTTTGGTCTTCCAAAAGAGGACGATATCTGCTTCGTCATGCCTAGAGCTGATCCGTGCTGGTCGCTGAGGAAATACATTGCGCTGGGGATCGCCGGATCGGCTTTCACTGTGGACGAAGCGGAGTCCAGCCCAGAGTCGGCACATGTCCTTCCGGACACTCCTTCATTTGAAATCGCACACTTACCCTCCCGCCGTTCCTCACGCTAGCCCCCGGGCTCGGCTCACTGTAGGCCACGGTGTGTGACGCTGTTTCCTTGTGAAAGCGAAACTACTTTGTTTGGTCTTCCAAAAATGGACACGATCAGTGGTTAAGTTGTATTTACAACACTATTCCAGAACACTTCAACCCAAACATTCGGATGTGTGCAGCACATTTTATGGAGGACTGTTTCCTGATCCTGGTAGAGTAGACTACAATGCCGGCTGTTCTGACTCACAGACTGTAAGTGCGTCTTTTTATGTTTAAAGAGTTTTTATATTTTATATATTTAAAGAGAGTTTTTTGGGCAGTGTAGAGTAGGGCTTGTTGTGTCATTTCTCCGATCACAAATGCAGACATGGTTTTATATTTACGCAGCACGATGCAACGCAACACGTAAAGAGACAGTATAAGTCATTATAATCAGTAATTATGTCCCCACTGAATGCAACAAATGCCTGGTTTATAATGGGTTTTAATGTTTTTGTCTCGTTGCTCCGGGCCGGACAGGGCAGCACAGTATGGTAGGGGCGTAACATTTCCGTCACACGCTTGAGGAATTCGGCCAATCACAACGCACTGGATAGCTGGCCAATCACAGCACACCTCGCTTTTTCAGATCGATGAGCTTTGTAAAAATCGACGCGTTTCAGAAAGGCGTTTTTTTAACCTTAAACCGCATAAACACATCGCATTACACCAAATACACAAAATGCTGTTCTTTTTAGCAGCATCATATGACCCCTTTAAGTACCAGTGGTACCGAGTACCCGGTTCTTGATGCGCTAGCCGAAAGGTGCGCAGATGCGTTCTCTTCATAAAAGCACTGAGACGTGGCGACATCAAAATGAGGAAACACACCAAACTAACAAAACACTTTAAAGACAGACACCCAGATCAAATGAAAGAGTTCAAGCAGGTAAGTTTCATTTCCATACATTGATTTATTTGTGGCGGCCCACCACAATATCAAAACTCACCGCCATAAATACATTTTCCAAAAGACTTTGACTTCGTTGAATAAACATGAGCACTGCTCGTGTCACAGTCGAAACCCGGTGCGGGTGTTTTTATATCACTGTATTATATATACAGTATATATACTGTATCTGAAGGAAACCGACTGTCTTCAGAAAATTATGGATGTCATTTTCATTTAATCTTGCCTGTAATGCCTGAGCAGCGTTTGTGAGCGCAGCGCTTATTTGATTACAGCCGTTACCGGGGAAACTGCTATCTCTGCCGCTCTACAAGCGCCTCCTGCTGGCAGAGAATGCATTTGCATATATATGCCACCACAAATAGAGTGCAAGTCTGTGGGAAACACCGCTTCTGTTATGAATGTTATTCAATATTTTAATTAGAATGTCGGATTGAAATGAACATCACTGTTATTAGAGTAGTTAATCGTTAGCATAAGTGCGGCTAACGCTAATATAATGAGCATTAGAATGAAGTTTCCTTATTAACTATTTAATGCTCCTATAACTTTTATTATGGTAAAAAAAAAAAACAGTATGACATGATGATATTTACTATTTTTACACACCAGAGGCTTTTAAATGAAGTGTGAATCTAAAATATGCGCGTTAGAGAATGTACAAATGGTTAACATGGTTTGTGTCATATCAGTCAGAAAAGCAGTTCTGGGCTTTTTTTTTTTATTTTTAGCTAACTTAGTTGTTATTCTTGGCTGAATAGCTCTAGAAGGTTTTAAAAGCCCTTTAATGAAATATGTACACAGTTTGGATTAAATGAAAGTATAGTCAAAATTTTTAATTAGCATGTGTTTGTGTTTTGCTTTGGTACCGAGAACCGTGGATTTTCACTGGTATTGGTACCGAATACTGAAATGTTGGTACCGTGACAACACTAAGCATAGATAAATATAACGGAACAAAGATACAAATGAAATAAGCAGTGCTTTATATTTTTCCGGTGAGTCTAACAGTATTCAGGTAC